ACCAGAGGCAAATAAGACAACTGTAAAATATTAGCACACCAATAGCAAGAAGCTAAATATAACAGCTAAATTTAGCATAACTGTAGATAAAAAAAACAACCATAGTCAAAACCTAAACTTTGCATATCACTAGCAAAACGATTGAAATTAGCAGCTAAATTTAGCACAAGCGGTTAACAGTTTAAATAAGACAAAAGTAGATTTAGTACTCTGTAGTTAATTTAATTATTTCTTGTCAATCCTCGTCCTGATGAGCTTATTTGTCTCTTACTCCTGACAGCATCCTGTTTGCAGACATCGTGGGTTTCACCAGCTTGGCCTCCCAGTGCACCGCTCAGGAACTGGTCAAGCTGCTCAACGAACTGTTCGGGAAGTTTGACGAACTGGCCACTGTAAGTTTTTATTTCTCCTAATTCCAACTCCAAGACAGAATCTGCAGTTTGAGATATTTACTCTTTAGCCTTTTAGTATTATAGTTTTTTTTTTCATTTCTTAAGTTTTTAAGAAACAAACAGGCATTGGAATTAGCTTCTCTAACCACCAAACCGCTACGTGAAGAGTTAGCTTCACAAGCACTAAACCAATAAACAGGTAAAATAAATTAATGAACTGATAACCACTAACTCAAGTTCTGTCATTTAAATATAGAATTTTGACCAAACGATCATAAAAACATTTCTACGTCCACCAAACTACAAGCAGTTGGATCAGAAAATGCTAAACATGCTAAATGCTAAACATGCTAAATGCTAAAATGCTAAATGCTAAACACACAAAATGCACACACAAAGCTGCGTGAAGGAAGGGTTGTTGTTTTGTTTTTTTTATTTAAAGTCAGCAGAAATTTTGCAGAAGCTAATTACGGTTTCTAAAGTTATTAAAAACGCTAATTTAAACTAAAAGTTAGCTCCGCTAGCTGTTAGCGGATTAGCTGAACTGTGTCCACTGCTGCAGAATTGGTGGACTCATGTGCCGAAGTTTTAAGGGACCGTCTTACACRTTGTGTAGCCAGGTTTATGGAATTTCAGCTACTACCGTGCTAAGTTTTAGCTGAACGTCCATAAAACTTACTGAGTTGTAGCTATTTTTGGTATCGGCTAAAATTAGCTCCTTTCAAATCTGTGCACTGGTTCATGAGATATTGTGATTTTTTTGGATTTATTCTTGGTTTTGTTCAACTACAGTGGTGAAGAAGTGTGAAACTGCAACTTTTTGATTTAGAATAATGTCCCCGAGCCGTCACGCTCCTCTCACAGCTGCTGCGTCAGCGCGCTCCTCGCCTCCAGCTGAAACGATGTATTATTTAGTCGAGGAGCTCATTTGTTATGCTGAGTCATATTATGTATTGATCCGAAATGCGAAAGTGAAGCTGGGGAGGTTTCCTGACACGAAGGAGGAGGAGGAAGGTCGGAAAGGACAGAGCGGAGAGTTGATTCTTAAGCAACAGAGAGATAAACGCTGAGGAGGTGGATTGTTGCAGTGATAAACGAGCTGCTGCGTGTGCACGTTGGCGCTCTGCATCAGTAAACCTCCGCGGCGTGGTTCACCATCAGGTGAGCAGCCCGAACTGCTACGTATCCATCAATTAAAACCGGAAATATGATCTGAAAAGTCCAATCAAAATCTTTTTTCCAACCTGATTTGTCTTTGTTTGTCCTTTTTAGATGTTGTGGGGGCGGGGCTAGAGGCGGGGCTTATCCTGGCCCGGTCAAGAGTCCATCACAGAACCTTAACCCGCTAATCTTTAAATACGTTTATTTCTGGGGGGTCTTTCAAGGTTTTAAGCATCAAACTCAAGACCCCATAACCTAAAAGTTAGCTACGCTAATGCTAAACCTAAACCCCTGGTACAAAATAAAAAAATTATTAGAAGCTAATGCTAACCGCTAACTCAAGGTCTGTCATTTTATCCACAGAAACATCAGAATCTTTGCTAAAAGCTAATAAAAACATTTCTGTGTCCACCAAACAGTTCAAACCACAAGSTGTTGAATCTGTAAATGCTAAAGATGCTATGTACATAAATAAGTCACATGATGCAGGCTTGCAACGCTGCATGTGTGAGGGAATTTTTGTAATTCAATTCAATTCAATTCAATTCAGTTTATTTATATAGCGCCAAGTCACAACATACGTTGTTTCAGGGCACTGCACATAAAAAGAACAATCTAAAGAAGAAGCCAACAGATTTTTTGTTTTTAAACCTAAAGTTAGCAGAGCTAAATTYAAAGGATGCTAACTGGTCTGCTAATGGTTTCCAACTTTAACAAAAAGCAGCTAATCCGCTAAATGAAAAGTTATCTCCACTGAACATCAACTGCTACGTGAAAATTTTGCTTCACAAACACTAAACAAGTAAAAAAGATATTTGTGGAAGCTAATGCTAACTGGTAACTGCTAACTGTAGATTTGTCATTTTTCCCACAAAAAGGACAGAATCTTGGCTAAAAGCTCAAGTTAGCAGAACTAAAATAAGCAGAAGCTAATTGGCCTGCTTTTCGTTTCCAACTTTGGCAACAAATCTTCTAAATGAAAGCTTATCTCTGCTAACCGTCAATCTGCTACAGATAAAATTTGCTTTACAAACGCTAAACCACTAAACATGTTAAAAATATTGGAAGCTAATGCTAACTGGTAGCTGCTAAAATTAGATCTATTGTTTAATCCACAGAAAAGACAGAATCTTGGMTAAAAGCTCAAGTTAGCAGAGCTAAATTTAGTGGAAGCTAATGCAAACTGCTAACTCTAGAKCTGTCATTTAATCAACAGAAAGGACAGAAYCTTGGCTAAAAGCTCAAGCTAGCAGAMTTAAATTTAGCAGAAGCTAATTCATCTGCTAATAGTTTTCCAACTTTAGCGACAAAYRGCTAATCTGCTAAATAAAAAGTTATCTCTGCTACCTGCCAACCTGGTACAAAAWAGAATTGCTTTGCAAATGCTAAACMGCTAAACAAAAAATATTATTTAGTCAAAGCTAATGCTAACTGCTAACTCTAGAGCTGTCATTTAATCAACAGAAAGGACAGAATCTTGGCTAAAAGCTTAAGCTAACACAAGTAAATTTAGTGGAAGCTAATGCTAGCTGCTAACTCTAGATCTGTCATTTAATCAACAGTAAGGACAGAATCTTGGCTAAAAGCTTAAGCTAGCACAAGTAAATTTAGTGGACGCTAATGCTAACCGCTAACACTAGAGCTGTCATTTAATCAACAGAAAGGACAGAATCTTGGCTAAAAGCTTAAGTTAGCAGAGCTAAATTTAGTTGAAGCTAATGCTAACTAGAGCTGTCATTTAATCAACAGAAAGGACAGAATCTTGGCTAAAAGCTTAAGTTAGCAGAGCTAAATTTAGTGGAAGCTAATGCTAACTGCTAACTCTAGAGCTGTCATTTAATCAACAGAAAGGACAGAATCTTGGCTAAAAGCTTAAGCTAGCAGAAGTAAATTGAGTGGATGCTAATGCTAACCGCTAACAATCGAACTGTCATTTATACGTGTATAATGATGTGTTTTATGCACTGCAGAACAGGAACCTGCTGTAAAACAGCAATTATGCTGAGTCAGGCTTGATTTTTATCAAATTAAATTAAATCAACAGAAAGGACAGAATCTTGGCTAAATGCTCAAGCTAGTAGAGCTAAATTTAGTGGAAGCTAATCAGTGGTTTTCAAACACCTGCTAATCCGCTGAATGAAAACATAGCTTTGCAGTTAGCTGTTAGCGGATTAGCAGAAGCGTGCCCACCACTGCATTTCTATCCCAGCAGTCCATCAGGTCCGTGCAGTTACCATTTATTTATTTAATTTTGCCTTCATTTAACCAGGCCAGGCCCACCGAGATCACAGATCTCTTTCAGACGGGGACGCCTGAAGGCAGCTTAGCTTTGACATTTTTTGGACGGTGGGAGGAAACCAGGTGTCCGACTCGGACCAGAACTCACTAATTCTGCTTCTTCGGCCTCGGCACAGAGCGACAGATACGAGGTTGATCCGAAGCTCACTATCTCTGCTTCGCTGCAAAAATATGAAAATCTTGTTTCTGGGGGGGATGTACTGCGTGTGTGCGTGCGCGACAGCAGCTGCATCCTAATTGAGATTTAGACTTTGTCGCATTAACCAGAAAGAGGAATTCACTTTCAGAACCGGCTCGCTCACAGCTGCTGAACGTTGTCCCCCCTCCCCCCCCCAACTCGCTGAAGGCTCAAGCTAAAGTTAGCCGCCTCAGACGCCTCAGACGCACACCCGACCCTTCAACCAGGTGGATCCACCAGCTGACCTCCAAATCTGCACGTTTACAGCCTCTGATCTGAAAGCAGCGATGCGTTTTTTATTCCCTCCCCCCTAAGACGTGTCTTTCTGTCAGCTGACAGTTCTGATTTCCTCTCACGCTGATTCTCGGAGTGAACACACACACACAGACACACACAGACACACACACACGTCTGCTCCGTGTGCAGGGATAATCATCCACGTTCTGAATCCTCATATCCTCCCACACCAGAATCTTTCTGCTCCCGTAAGCAGAAAACCAGAGCGGCCCATCTTCTCTTCTCTCATCACAGCTTCTCACTCTGCAGTTGTCATGAATCCTGCGTGTGCGCGAGCGTGCGCGAGCGCGCACGTGCATTCCTGCAGGCAAAGCTTTGTGGGTTTTTTTTTGTCATTATTCCGTCTGAGAGTGATGCCGGTGCGAAAGGGGAAAACTGTCACACCGAACGAACGGACAGACAGCACGGCGTGTTTGCACGTGTCATTTTTCTCGTGCACGGACAAAGTGCGTGTGTGTGTGTGTGTGTGTGTGTGTGTGTGTGTGTGTGTGTTTATTTCTGCGCTTGTGTCGTCCTCGCTGGTTCCTGCGTGCAGCGTGCACGGTGACAAACAGAGGATCTGTCTGGGAATGTGTGGGTGGGATTCTACTTCAAGAGGGAGCATGTCGGAGCAATTAGAGTTGGCCTCGACAACAAACGCACACACACAAACACACACACAAACATAAAAGCGCACACACAAGTTCACGAGCAACGTGTCTGATTTACATGATGCAGTTTCTGTCAGATAACAGAATATAAAGTGTTATTTTAGGTCCAGCTCCTCTTGTCGATCCAGTCCAATCATGGCTGCAGGTTCTGCAGTGTTGTGGAGGCTGGGCCGGTCGGTTTTGGTGAAGATGGAGCTGAGCTGCGTGGAGAAGCTACCAGTCGGTCTACGTTCATACTCTTATAATGTCTGGGTCGTGACGGAGTTGGTCAGGATGACCTGAAGGAGGTGTTCTGGACATGTTGGACAGATGTGGAAGAACATCTGGATTCTGTGGTTGTAGAAAACTGCTGACGTCAGAGTTTAATCAACCAACCAACCAATCATCCATCCATCCATCATCCATCATCCATCCATCATCCATCCATCGTCCATCCATCGTCCATCCATCCATTCATCCATCATCCATCCATCCATCCATCCATTTATCCATCCATTTATCCACCCATTCATCCAGCCATCCATCCATCCATTTATCCATCCATTCATCCATCCATCCATCATCCATCCATCCATTTATCCACCCATTTATCCATTCATCCATCCATCCATCCATTTATCATCCATCCATCCATTTATCCATCCATCCATTCATCCATCCATCCATCCATCATCCATTCATCCATCCATTCGTTCATCCATCCATCGTCCATCCATCCATCCATTCATCCATCCATCCATCCATCATCCATTCATCCATCCATTCGTTCATCCATCCATCATCCATCCATCCATCCATCCATTCATTCATCCATCCATCTATCCACACATCCATCCATCTGTAAGGAAATACGAGTTCAATAACGGTTGAAGTCAGGTGAAAACACAAGTGTTAAATAAAATGATCTGTGATAGAAATAATTGCCATACAACACCAGAATTCTGGAGTGAGGGTTTATTCAGCCATGAGCTGGCRAGTCAAAACYACACACTGAGGTCCAAACAGGAAGTCGGCCAATAAAATACAGGAGCTTCAATGCCCGAGTCCGCCTCTGCTGGCCTAAAGCTGAATCACAGGCATTCATACAGACAGTTCTCAATCTAATGTTAATCCAGCTTTAATTATGTGTTGTTATTTTCGGACATGTATCTACTCTATTTCAATTAACTTTGTAAGAAATATAACACACATTATAAAGCTATTATAAAATAGAAAACCCTAACTCTGTGTTGTATTTAATCAGTACTAAACTATAAATTTCTTCACATCCATCCATTTATCCATCCATCCATTCATCCATCCATCCATCCATTCATCCATCCATCCATCCATCCATTCATCCATCCATCCATCCATCCATTCATCCATCCATCCATCCATTCATCCATCCATCCATCCATCCATCCATCCATCCATCCATCATCCATCCATCCATCATTCATCCATCATCCATCCATCATTCATCCATCATCCATCCATCATCCATCCATCCATTAATCCATCCACACATCCATCCATCCATTCATCCATCCATCCATCCATCATTCATCCATCATTCATCCATCATCCATCCATCCATCCATCCATCCATCCATCCATCCATCCATCCATCCATCCATCCATGAGGCCCTGGCTCACATAGTTTCTTTATACAGCTCAGCTCCTCTGAACCACAGCAGATTGGTACACAGTCTACAAATCTGCAGAAGCTGCACTGATCTGTCCGTCAATCTCACGCTGCGTTATTTCCTCACTCGTGAACAAAACTCCAAGATACTTGAACTCCTCGGTCTGAGGCAGAACCTCACCGTCAACCTGAACGGCCTGTAACAACAAAGCTCCGTCTGTTAGAGAAAACCTGATCCAATATGTGGTCTCCTCTGTCTGCAGGAGAATCACTGCAGGCGGATCAAGATCCTGGGGGACTGTTATTATTGCGTGTCCGGTCTGACACAGCCCAAAGCGGACCACGCCCACTGCTGCGTGGAGATGGGACTGGATATGATCGACACAATCGCGTAAGACACGCACACACATCCCACACGTTGATGCCTGTCTGGTTACGATGTGCTGATGTTTTTATTTTCTSTCCCGTCCTCCCCACAGGTCGGTGGTGGAGGCCACCGAGGTGGATCTGAACATGCGAGTGGGTCTGCACACGGGGCGGGTTCTGTGCGGCGTCCTGGGCCTCAGGAAGTGGCAGTACGACGTCTGGTCAAACGACGTCACGCTGGCGAACGTGATGGAGGCCGGAGGGCTGCCCGGGTCAGTRCCAGAACCCTGGTTTTCAGTCTTTTATAAACGAGAGGTGGCTGAGGAGCTTTAATCCTCCCTCAAACAGAGGAAATATTTCAGGGCAGATCGACTCCTCCACTCCTAAAGCACTGAAAGATTTTAAAAAGAACAGCTGATGCAACACTGAGGTAAAAATATCTGTCAGTTTGTTCTTAAGACCTCTAATTTAAAATAAAACAGTTTGCATCCTGCACAGCATCTTGATTAGAAAATGTTTCTGGTGCTTCTCCAACCTGTCGTACGAAGCCAGTAGTTTCACACTTCCGCTAATCCGCTAAAAGCGGAGTTTACTTCTCATTTTGCGTATTAGCTTTTTTGCTAACTTTGAAATATAAATATGACCAATTAGCTTCCTCTAATTTTAAGTTTACTAAGAAAAACACGAGTAAAAACTTCAATTTGTAAGCCGTTTATTTTTAACTAAATAAAAACTATACGCTCTTACAAGCAGTCCTGTATGTTATAGACACTGTGTACATTAGCATGTAGCATCTTTAGCAACTAAACTTTGAACTAAGAGCATCCAAAATAAATAAAATAATATTTTGCCAGACAACAGCTGACCAAAAAGTAAACACTAATCTGCTAAACAAGCATTTTAGCTCRGCTAATGCTAAATTGCTAAACAGATTGCAAAATTAGTAGAAGCTAACGCTAACAACTAAGACTACTGTCACTGGTGGGACTGACACAAACCTGTTCTTAGTTTTCTATATATAATTTAAAGGTACAACAACTTCTCTACCATGTTTTATATATAGTTTTTTATAACCATTTTTTAAATATTTTTAAATGTTATTTTATTTCTTTTTGATGCCCTTAGTTTCAAGTTTAGCTGCTAAAGATGCTATACGCTAACACACACGGTGCCTGACACGCCCAGCCCTGCTTGTAAGAGGAGACAGTTTTTATTTAATCGGGATGAATGGCAGTAAAAATAGATTTATGTTTTACACTTGTGAATATTTAGTGGGCTTAAATGAATGGAACCTAAATTTAGCAGAAGCTAATCAGTCCGCTAATGGTTTCCAAAGTTAGCGAAGCAATAAAAACTAATCCGCTAAATGAGAAGCTAGTTCCGCCATTGTGTTTCTAAAAATACAAACTTGACCAATGAAAGGCTTTTATTCTGAAAGGGTTAAACTGGAAGTGTCGACTTAGACAGAGCTATAACTGGTTTGGATTGGCTGGTTTTGCCACATTCAGATTAAATAGAGAACTAACAACAGGGTTTAGCGGTTTAGTGTTAGCGGAGCTGAGATTCTTGTTTGGCAGATTAGCGGTTCGTGACGATAACTCTTCGGTCAGTTCCCTTACTTTAAGAAAGGCTGAACTAACACACAGGTTCTCAAACGTTTTGGGTGAAACATTTCCAGGGACCCCCTCATAAACTCCAAGCTGTGGTTTTAACCCCTAAACATCATTGGAATATTAATTTTTTTTTGGTATAGTATGTTTGTTTTATTAGTGCATTGTTCCACATATGTTTTTAATAAAAATCAAAAAATCAAATTAACAATTTCTTGAAATTTTTCGAGGACCCCCAAGATATGACTCGCAGACCCCAGTTTGAGAACCTCTGGTCTAACAAATAGGTTTCCATATTTTCCAGATCTTATGAAATCGTCCAGTTTTTAGGCTCAATGCAGGAAGTTCCTCTGGTGTAAAACAATCGCTAAATTTTCTGGCTGAAAAACCAAACGACTTTTAAGAAAACTCCCGTCCAGTAAAGAGCAGATTTGCATTTAAAACGAGGTCATTGCCCACTTTGCTCCCGTTTCCAGGAAGATTTCAGCGCTCTGCAGCAGATTAAACAAGTCGTTCAGATGAGAGACTCCCTGTGAACAGTTTTCAGCATTTTGAGGGGTTATTAGCTGGATTAAAAAATGAGTGAAGACCCCCCACCCCCAACTTTTACCTGTCTCGCTCTCAGCAAGGTGCACATCACGAGGACCACCCTGGAGTGTCTGAACGGAGACTACGAGGTGGAGCCGGGCTTCGGTCACGAGAGGCACGCCTTCCTGCAGAAGCACCACATCGAGACATTCTTCATTGTGCCGTCGCACAGACGCAAAGTAGGCCGGGCTTCGTTTTCACTCCAACAAACAGCCCTGATGTCATTGTTGTTCTGTGCTAAACATTTATCTGATGTTAGTTACTCTCATTTTAGATTTTTAGGGTAAAAWGTGCTGCTGCTGTCGTCATTTTGGTCCAATAATCTCCCTCTACAAAGCTGGAGCTTTAGCAATTTGTTAGCGCTCAAAAATATGTGTTGTATATGTATTTTMGCTGCAACCGCGCCAAATTTTAGCTCAATATCTATAAAACTGACAGAGTTTTAGCTGTTTTTCTGTTGGCTAACATAGATTAGCTTTGGTAGCTGTCCTAAACTGGGTTGAATCCAAAATGTAACCAGTTGTACAGGTACAGCCAGTAGTGGCACAGCTAACCYAAAAGTTAGCTTCACTAACTCGTAACCTAACTAAAAATATAGCTTCACAAGTGCTAGCACTAATAGCTAATTTCTAACTGCTAAGATACAAAAAAGTTGTTGGTGTTAGTTAGTTAGCTGTTAGCGAGCTCAAAGTTGGTAAAGCCTAATTTACCAGTYAAGTTAACTGGTCCGCTAACTGTTTTCACAGTTAAAAGGCTATCCACTTAATGGAAAATTAGTTCTGCTATTAGMTGTTAGCTGATTAGCAAACCTATGCTCACCACCRGGTATAGGCTATTTATATCTGTGCTAGTTAGCTGTTAGCATACTTAAAGTTGACAAAACCTAATTTCAGTGGTGGGCACTAGTCCCCTAAAGTGCAAATGCACTAATTGCGGACCTAAATTTTTCTTTTGCGCTTTAGGAGTTTTACTAATTTCATAAAATGATGTGCAGATTTGCGCTTTCTAAA